TCTCTTCCAAAACACTAATTTCAAGACAGTTTCATTTTTGTATAAGAAAAAGTTGTGGGCAACTATCCCCATGAACTTTGAATGTCTTTCAAATCTTGACTGAGAACAGCTCATACCACCTATAAATCTAGCTGCTATCCTGTCTGATTAAAAGCTGCACTTCTTAAATTAAACTCGTGCAGTAGGTAGGCTGTAGAACATTTTAGTTTCTATATTTCTGTGCACTCTGTAAATCTCACTTCTCTTTTCCCTTCTTCAATAATTTGACAAGACATTTGTTCAGCATTTAAGCTGCATGTCTAATGGGAAATATTGGGATTTCACAGTTGGACCAAACCCAAGACAATCTAGTCTGGTATTCTATCTCCAAAAGTGACCTTTTTCATGCAAGTGGGAACAAAATGCTAACCACACCAGAACTCTTCCTGCCCTCTATAAGACACTGATTCAGACATTGACAAAATACATATTATGGCTTCCAATAAATTCATGTCAAGAGAATAAAATCTTTGGTAAATATTCTGCATTCTGTGAAGTAATTTTGTGGACTTGTGATGTTCTGTCACAGCCTCCTGTGTGAAAAAGTGTTGTTAATTTCTTTATTATCACATTAAGTGTCCCCATTGTTGTTGTGTTTTAGGACAGCAGAATTTTCTCATCTACCATCTTCAATCTACGTCTTATTGTCTATATTCTATATTAACTATTATTATTATTTTATATTCTATTATTATCTATATCTATATTTGCCTCTACAACTGTCTCTACATCTACTTATGCCGTTTACTCATTTTGTGATATTCTAAGGTAATTTATTGCAACTGCATTTACCCAAAGTAAACAAACACACCCCCAAATAATTAATCAAGCCCGAAGATCTTTCATTACAGTTTTCCATGTCTGGAATAAAAGTACTAATTAATTGGGCAATATGTTAGGCTAGTAGCCTACCTGGATCGGCAGAAAAAATTTTATCAGCAAATGTGTGAAATACCATCAGACACAAAAAAAAACCCCAAAAACCCTTGACATATGAAGCCAATTTAAATGTTCCAAAAATTGTTAAAGATTAATTTAACATATTGGTACGTTTTGTCTTTTTGTTTTTTGGGGTTTTTTTGACCAATGTTTAGAATTGAATTACTTCAGTAAATGCTTCTGTTTCTTTAATTCACTGCCTTAATAGGGCGCCTGGGAAATGGTTTTTATAAATATAATCACACATTGCACAGTATCTTCATCTTTTCTTAGTATATATAGAGAGGTTGAGACTTTGGGGTGATTTGATTTCATAGGTAAAACTCAGTTAAACTCTAAAATGCTACACAGCAACCTTTTTCTGTTCAGTGTGCAGAGGTTCTTTCCAAGGACCATCTAAAATATTCTAGAGTATTTCCAGAAACTCAACAGATTTTACAATTCTGTTAGATATTATGAATTAAATGGATAATGAAAATAGAACAGCTCTGCATATTCTATACATTTAGTACATTATGTGCCTGTAGTAAACTAGGCATACAAAGCTTGGAAAGGTGTTTTTTGGGGTTTTTTTGTCATAATGCGTCAACCACAGGGATGTCATTTGCATCTTTACCTGAATGAAAAGTCAAAAAAGCCCAAAGAAGTATTTTGGGTTAGGAACAGGATGAGTAGTCTGTGGCTGAATAGCACTAGTGTTATAGGTTTTACTTTCATTACAATGTCTTGACAACAGAAGCACTTAACTGCAAATTGATAGAGAAACTAGCAAAGCACAGGAGAAAAGTGTGGGTCAGAGTGTTCCAGTACCTGAGTACAGATTTCATCTGACTGCAGAATCTTGCCATTTAAATCAGTTTTTTTTTTCCTGTGGAATCTCAACATACAATCAGGTTTTGGTACTTCTACAGCATTGTCATTTAAAAATTTTGCACTGTGTGTGTGTTCCCTAAGGATATCCAGGAAGCATCCCTCCTAATAATCCCACAGGAATTTTCCTTCCTTCCTTCCTTCCTTCCTTCCTTCCTTCCTTCCTTCCTTCATTCCTTCCTTCCTTCCTTCCTTCTTTCCTTCCTTCCTTCCTTCCTTCCTTCCTTCAGACTTAGCCTACCTATGGCTAGTGAGAGAGGACTAACAGTATTTCAGGGCTTTACTAAATTTCTTTGTCATACAGGTTGCTCAGAGACCCAGAAAACCTGGAGGAAAAAAGTGCTGTGTATAATTTAAATTTAGTTCAACATCAACTTGATGTGATAAAAAGATCACAGAAGACTGCATCAACAAGTTCCAGCAGCCAAGGAGGGAGAAATACACCCACCCTTAAGGAAACGTCTCTTAAATTAAAAGAAGTTTTAATAACACTGATTTTTTTTTTCATTCTGCAGCATGTAAAATAAATGTAATTTCAAAATGCATTGCATATTCATGCAGCCGTATTGAGGTGTCCTGGGCAAAAAAAAAAAAAAAATACAGACTAGCCCAGGGACAGCTGTAGCACTGACACAAACACCAGAAGAAAGGTGGGAGTCATGTAACCCACCTCCTCATCTGAATTCTTTTGCCATCATTTCTGACAGAGCTGTCTCTCACCTGATCAGAAAAATTCCAGGGGCAATTTAACTCATCCCAGAGCTTCACATTGTTTATCCTAGGGATTCATCTCATCTGCCACAGTTACACTCTCACTTCTGACCTATCCATCATGGAAAAAAAGAACGATATTTCTTACAATAATACAATACAATAGTACAATAGTTCTTTTTCCTTATTTAATGTTTATTTCAGGTGTGGTTCCACCGTGGGGTTCTCTCATGGTGTGATCTTGAGCTTCTCATGTCCAGCTTTTACTGAAATATATATTCCTAGTATCCTGATTTTACCATGCAACTGCATCACCCTTTATTTCAATACTCTGCTATCCTGAGTTTTTCTGGAACACCTCACTCCTGGATCTCTGATATTCACCTGGACAGTCCTGCTAAGGGCTTTGCCTCACACAGCACTTCCTTAGAACCCCCAGTTTTGTTACCCTTCCAACACACAGACTCCTGCAGTTCCCACTCCTTTTCTTTTGTACACTTCTGCACAGCAACAATAAATTAGTCATTTATTATTAATGTTCTTTTGGGCATTTTTGGCGAAATAATTACACAGTGTTATGTGGCTTCAAAGATGAAAATCCTTGCTGTAAACAAAATGTTCAGAGTGGGAATAGAAGGGTTTACCTCACTGTAGGGAATATTTTGCGCCTCATGTAGACCTCTCTGTTCAAATATCTAATTGTCTATATTTACTCCCAGAAAATTAAAGATATCTAAATTATGGGAGAAGTTGATAAGGGGGTTTTGGTCGTGTTTTTTTGGTTTTGTTTCGTTTTTGTTTTTTTAAATAGGGTTTCTTTAAAATAGAGTGTTGGAAAGGGTTTGAAAATACAGGTATTGGTGGGAAGGTATTACTGTGTCTATAAACTTCATTAAAATGCCAGTGAATTTAAAGGGCATCTCCTCTTTGACAGGGTAAAAGAATAGATGCCTTCTGAGAAAAAATTCTGATTGTTCTATGATATTGGACAGAATATTTCCTCCTATACGACCAGGACACCAAGAAAATGGAAAAATAAGATATTTTAAGATGGGGAAAAGAAAAATAACAAAAAAAGACTATCTCTCTTGATGTTATTGACTGTCATTCCATGATCATGAATTGAGATTCGATATTCTGAGATATTTTAACTAGTTTTTGTTATTAATTTCCCAATGCAACTGGCTAGAGCCACAAAATCAGCATCAGGTTATCCAGCTCTTTCTCCTGGAAGTGCAGGAGGATTGTTTTTCTCCTTCTGAGCATCCAGTTATCCACTGTTACAAATGGTTCCAGGAAAATTCAGCACATATAAGAGTTACCCATTCTTTTGAGAGAAAAAAAGAGCGAGAAAGCAGCAATTTCCATTACTTCCAAAGCAGGGATGCTGCCAGGGGATATTCCTGCCGTGCTGGGGAAGGTTCTCCCTTGGCTGAAAACTATCAGCTTTTAGCACCGGTTCTGCAAGAAGCTGTGACAACTCAAAGTGTTTTAACCTCCTTGAACTAAGCCCCGTGCTTCAGGGAACTGTTCTTATCAACAGCCTGGCTGTGTCTGGTCACAAAGACACTCCAAGAAATTGCAGTGTTTGAGTCAACGCTGGCTTTCTGAAACTGTTTATGCTCTGGATTTGAAGCAGACAGTGGAGCTGTGGGTCGTTTTCTTCCTTAGGGCACAGTGGCATCTAGTGGTCCTACACGGAGTGGATGAGGAAAATAAAAAGTATATAAAAAATAGGTGCTTTTGTGTCCTTTTTTTTTTTTAAGAAATTATTTTTAGGAACATAATTCTTGCAACTGTATGGGTTTGTGAATACACTCATAATGTGTTCAATTGCTTTCTTCACTAGAGATATGAGCAAGTGCTCCAGGAAAGGAAAGGAATTTGAGCACTTATGTTGTTCAGTTACTTAATTTTAACTCCATTACATCACGTATTTTTAAGTTGACTGGAATGAGACTATTACATTTACACAGAAAACCGAGTTTGGGGTTTGGCTAATGCTCATAATTGGAGTGAATGGAAGTTTTAAGTAGTAATATATTTGAGAAATTTGACACTTAAGTTATACATATTTGTTATGATATCTTCAACTTGTTTAAATTTCATACACCAAAAATATTCCTATTCTCTTTCCAGGGGTTCTTGCCAGCATTTTTCATGAAGGTGAGTGATAAAGAGCATTTCCACTACTGGAGCTAAAAAAAAGAGAGTGAGCCAAGCAAGTGTTTTGAGATTATTGTTTCAGAGACATTTAGTTGGAGAAATGGTCTGTAACTAAACATATCTAACCCTCTGAGAAGGAATTATACTCCAAAGTTATCCATTTTGTCTTAAGGAGATGATCCAATATATCCTTATACAGTTGCTTTTACGCAGCTGATCCAGCTGAAAAGCAAAATACTTCAGTTTCATTTTGAGATCAGTTTGCTAATTAGGATCCTGTTTATTTTCATTATTACGGTGAAGATTTAGGCAACATCCATGGGCATCTTTCTGGTTCTGATAGTTTGCTTAGCTAGTGTCTGGCAGAAAAAAATAAAAACAACTGCTATAATGAGATTGGCACTGCACACTTGGTGGCTTTAAAAATGAATGTAATTGGGAAGCAATTGGATGACTTTCACATTAGCATTAATGTGAGTTAAGTGAGCACAGCCATGGGAGAAAACACGTCCGTATGTAAACAAAGGGAGGTTCTACACTTTATCATTTAAATAATAATGAGGAAATCACAATAAACCAATTCCAAGTGGTTTTGTGGCTGATGGAAGTAGTACCACGGGTCCCATCAGTTTCAGACAATTTTTTGACTTGCTGTATTTATGATTCTATATGTTAGGTGAAAGAAAAAAACCCAAACCCTTACTGCTGTAGGAAATACCACAAAAACAATGCATCTCTGGTTCAGAGCCTGCCTTGTAGATCTCTATCATGACTTTAAGTCACCCTATCAAGGCATTTTTTAAGAAATCCACTAAAACAAGCTATGAGAATTATAATAAGGACCTGACAGAGACCTGAATACTATAGGACACAATGAACTTATTGAGTAAAATAGAAGCTGGAAAATTAACTATTCCTATAGGGCTGAGGAAGAAATGCCTGTACTTAGAACATTCTTTCTTTCTCAAAACTACATAGATCTTAAATGTGAGCAAATTGATTGTTGGCAAATACCTATTTTCATAACAATTATTGCTGAAGATGTGCAGTTAAAGACAGAGTCACAAAATGTTACTTCTTGTCAGAAACACAAGTTCTCCAGCTGTGAAAGGGAGGAGCAGCTACAGGGTGTGCTGAATGGAGAGCAATAAACCGCTCTCAACTTTAACTAGAATGTTCCCTTTTTAAGGTTCTCTGAAAAAATTAAGGCAAGCGAAAAGAGCGTGTGTAGGTCTGGATACTTTCAGTTAAAAAAAAAAAAAGTTTTAAAGTAAATTAGATATCATCATGGCCAGGCTTCGCGAACGAAGATTTGGGAAGGGCTCTACCCACATTTGCTACAAGCACGCTGGTGGCTAAAGAGGCCAATGCGAGATGGACAAATCCAGTTGCAAAAGGCACAGCAGAAGGACTCCTTGGATGGTATCGGCAAGACACGGTTCTTTCTGCGCTGTCTTTTCTCCTCGAGAGTGATCCTGTGTGCATTCTCAAAGGAAGCAGCAGCATTATAGACAGTGTGTCTCCAGGCCTGAGTTCCAGATCAGGAAGGGCATTGCTCATTTCTACTCTCCTGGTGATACCCGACAGCAACTCCAGGACTGCAGTCATCAAATCAATCTTCAGATTGGGTGAGAACATGGTAGGACCAAGCAGCTCGTGTCATAAACAAAAAGAAGACATTTACTGCTAATAAATGGGATTCTTTGCAAGAAACCTTCCTCAATCCCTTCGTTTTTCTATTATATACATAGATATATATGTATAAATACATATATGTGTACCCTTGGACTGTATTATACAAATCCTTCATACATATTTATCTTTGATATGGGCTGATACTCTGACTTGACAATGAGGGAGAATAAAAATTGGGTTTGGAAAGTCTAAATCACAGAATCACAGAATCACCTTTGGGTTGGAAGGGACATTAAAGCTCATCTCATTCCAACTCCCTGCCACAGGCAAGGACACCCTCCACTAGACCAGGCTGATCCAAGCTTCATCCAACCAGGCCTTGAACACTTCCAGGATGGAATATAACTTCACTTATGAGCTGGACTGTATTGCAACTGCTATTCTCCTAACCATCTAGAGACATCGAATATTTGAAGAGCTTTATACCTTCTGCTTGGCTCTTCTTCCCATGCAGATGGTGCCCAGTGTGCATCCACTCTTCTCCCAGAGATGGGCTGAACCACAGTCAGGATGGCTTGTGTGATGGTTCCTTCTTTCTTCATTATCTTGATGGTAATAAATTTGGATCTGGTAGCCTGAAATCCATGGGAATAAAGACCATTCAAAGATACTGGAGAATATGTTTCAGTAAGCTTCATTCTTAACCTTTTTAGCTTTTTCCTGTTAAGACATTTTCAAGGCTGCTCTTTGTCAATAGGCAGACTTATGTATTCTGAGCAAACTCAAACTAAAGCAGGTCCAAAGTTATTTCTAGATTGATTAATAGGAAAAAAAAATCAGAGAGAAAATAAAAAGGAAAAAACCAAATAAGCTAACATTCTGATTATATCATGTGTTTTCTATCCTCCAACAGCCTGCAAAATCTTGAGCCTTCCTATACTTCTTTGTTAATCTTTAATCTTCCAAAGAACTGGGAATTAAAAATATCCAGTTCATCATTGAAGTTCTACAAACGTGGCTAAACCACGTGCACCAAGGGAATATGCTTTCTTCCCAAGAGCAGCAGGGAAACCCTGCCCTCCCAAATCTGAACTAATCAACTTTTGAGATGAAGAAAGGAGATAAGGAAAATGAATAAATGGATTGTGTGCTTATGAGGTCTCCAACCTGGTAAGGCAAAAAATTCATGTGGGAAAATAGTCTAGATTTCACAATACCCCTGCCTGTTGAAGTTGTGTGCCATTCCAATAATAAATTCTGTGGTATATTAATCATAATATTCTGTTAAGGGAAACAAAGCTTCAATTGTCACTGTGACTTCACAGATTATGCCAAGAATCCCTAAAAGCAGCCATCCGTCCCCTTGGTTTTGGGTGATACTCATATATGGTATAACATCTAGTAGAATGTTTTCAATAACAGCGTGTGGATAATTTGGAATTCCTTGCTTCAGCAGGTGAACAATTTTGTGAAATATTTAAGCTCCCGTGCAAACCATTGCTTACAAGGTCTTTCCTGAACAAGGCTCAGCTGCCCATGACTTTCTCCTCACTCCACAGTTACCAGTTCACAACAGGCACTTTCATCAGAGAAATGGGATTAGAACGTAGCTGGGATGAGGCTTGCTCTCAGCAACAAGTGTGCTTCTCCAGCACCAGAAAGCATCACAATGAATACGAAGAATTTATGGTTCTTTTTAATCTACTGTCTTCCCCTTCTTCCCAAATTCCTCACCCTGCCAAAGTACATTACAGCTTTCTTTGGACAGGAACTAACTTTCAGATGAGATCTTTTGCCTAATTTAAGTTTATTCCCTGCTGGGATATTAAATGCAGAAATTTGTATTTTCCAATGACAAATATACCCAATTAAAAAAAAATAAGAAAAAATGTTACGTGGCCATTAACACTTTATACAGTATTGATATACTGGGAATTTATGAAAACAGAAAAGTTATGTAGTTATGAGCAGAAGACAAACATTTCCACAGTTGACAATCTATGAAATTCTTAATTAAATTATAGCATATCACACTTTTCCTCACCAATTAGCAACTATATTTTCAAAAACTGTCAGTATTAATGAGTATAATCACAAAACAACGCAGAAAACAAATTAATAGTCATAATTTTCTTGAGAAGAAATCTGAAGATGTGCTGCGTAAACTCTATTATCTTCTGGGACGTTTTATTAATAAGATGAATTATTAATCTCTGAGTATAACATTGAACTAACATAGCTCAACAATCTCCAAACAACACTGACTATGTGTCATCTCTACTCTGTTAGTTGTGCTCCCAAAAAGGACTGAAACAAAGAGTTGTGCCCAACATCTTGAAAGCACACTATGAGCAGAAACACCATTTGAATTCTCTGCCCATGTCGTCCAACGAGCCTGCCTATGCCCTACAGGTCTTCTCCAAAGACCTCGGGTAGATTTTACTGTTGAGAGAGTGTGGGTGTTGCCTGAAGTCAGCTCAATCCTTACAGAGACAAGGCACTTACAGTTTGATTTTGAGGAAGCCAGTTGTGGTTGAACTAAATTTCAGTTATGTGGAAATAAAATCTGCTGGGCACATGAGGCTTACACTGAGATAGTCAGTTCCACATAAAACCTACCTTTCACACAAGGTTTTAGCATTCCTGTCACCACTTTCTTGCTGAAACATAGAAAAATAGAAGTGTCCATTCATTTGCCTCAGTCAATGTTGGCACATAGCTAAATTCTTGAAAACCTCAAGCTTACTAAATTATATAGTCTGGAATAGAATATATTTATCTGCTAAACCTTCACACCATGTAAGAGTTTTCCTTTTCTGACACATAGCTTATGTTTTTCTTCTTGAAGTTAAACCCTCTAGTCCTTTTCAAACGGAAAATCGGCAAAAAAAATTTATCCTTCTCTCCTCTGATATCTTAAATCTAGTCAGCACTTTTTAATGCTATTCTTTCTACAGCATTCTCTTTTCTAGACTCACTAATCCATATTTTCCAGTATTTTCTTGGAAGAAAAAGGAATTTACCAGTTAAATTAATGAAACTGTTGTTTTGTTTCATATACATTTCATATTTTTAAGGGTGCAAAGTTGATTAAACAATTAATGTGTGTGAATTAGAAATACAGTATGACTTTATTTTGAAATTTAGAATTCCATTTACTGCTTTTCAGAGTTTCAGTTTTAGGGTTTCAATTAAAAGTTATATAGGACTGAAAGGTTCTATACAGATGTTTTCAAAAAGTACTTCAAATATTAGTTGCATGTCCCGGCTAAGAAGACAAAAAAAAAAAGTTATAATTATACAATCTTATATTTTAGGACTACTAAAATTATACTTGCACTGTTGGTAGTCCAGAAGACTGACCCGGCAGGCAACTGATCCTAATTACTGTTCTTAACTTGGATTGATTTTTGCAATGGGAGGGCTTTTTCCCATTTTGATTTAGTGTCCTGGTTTGAAAATTGCCCTCCCGGGAGCCAGGGGGCTTAGAGGTGATTGGATGCCAGGGTAATTTCCCCTGAAGAGCCAATCACCACTCGTCTTGTTCGCTCCTGTGAAAAATCATATATACACAACTGCGGGAGTTGGTGACAATCGGTCTGTCTGTCTGCTGCTGTGTGGGTGTGAGAAGGCCTAGGGGTGGCAGGGCCCCCTTCTTTCCCCTCTGGGGGGAAGGTGGGCCCTGTGGCCCCACAACTCTGGCCTAAGCCAGGGTTGGAGGCAGCATTGGAGTGAGTGTCTGTTGTGAGGGAAGAGACTCACAGTACCTGAAGGTAAGTGGGAGAGAGGAGCCAAGTCCTCTTTCCACCACCCCCCTCCCCATTTGCAGCTAGACTGTGGAGGGAGCTTCTTTTCCCTCTCATTGTAAAGTAGAGGGGAGGCTCAGCATTGGAGCCGAGCCAAGTGGACGGGTGGAATGCAGCCTGGTGCTAGGGAGATAACGCCAGGCGAAATTGGAGACGGACCAGAGAAAGGCCCAGAGGATGTCCTTGCAGTGATTTAAACGGAGGACAGCCGAAAACTCAGAGGAGGAATGAAGATTCCAAGACACGTATGTGTGACAAGCTAATCTGAACTACAGCAGCACGGAACCGAGGTATGAGAGAGAGAATCACACAACAGAGACTGACATGGAACCAAGGAGGATGGACTCAAAGCTATCTTCTTGGACTTCGTAAGGAAGAAAAGACTTCAGCAAACAGCTGGAGGTTGGTGGGGAGAGTAAACCCTTTTCCCTGAACACTCCAACGAGAGAAAGACTGGTTACCTATCAACCTGAAGGGCTTTTCCTGGACTGAATTAAGAGAGAAGCTTAAAGGGATTGATAGAAGTGTGTAATATATATATAGTTGCCTTTAGCTTGTACAATATTTATTTGTATAGTAATAAATGTATATACTTCCCTTGCCCCTCCATAGAGGTGTCTGCCTGAAAGTTTCTCTTCTGTGTTGAGATAAAATTGTGGGAAGGGGTGGGGGAAGCCTGGAAATTGGATTTTGGATTTCTGTGGTGGCTCAAACCACCACATTTAGTATCTTCTTTGCACTAAACTGGTCTAGTTTAGCCTGATATATATATATATTTTTCCATGGGTCAAAGGCCAAAGATCAATCTTTTGGATCTGAGAACCCATTTAAGTGCTGATTTTGCTACCTCTGTTGCTGCCACTCCCTTACCAACACACAGTATCCAGAACTCAGTTGCCTTTGGGTCGAACAGCAGTGAAATATTAATTTATGAGACTACATGCATAGAAAGGGACATAAAAAGCTCACAAATACAGTGGATCAAAACCTACTCTTTTTATCAACATTTTATCAACATTATCAACATTTATCAAAATTTACCAAAATATCAGTTTCTGATGAATCGTGGAGTGTCATGGTTTGAGAGCCCCAAAATCCAATTCCCTAGTCCAAAACCCCCTCCCACATCTCAACCCAATGTGAGATGGGTTTTCCAGACACCATACGAGACTCAAAATGGGGGAAAGGGAATATGTATTACAATGACCGTACAAAATAAATACTACAATACATTATATACAATCTTAATTATCTCTAACATGACATAAGTATTTACAATGGATCAAAGCTCTTCTCCCCTCCAAATAAACATCCAGGAGGGAAGAAGGAAAGATCCTTTTCACTTTCAGAGCAGCATTCTCTTCAGAGTAGCAGTCTATCTCTCTCTCTTCCATGCAGCAGTGGCAGCTGGATCTCTGCCAGTACATACAAGGGGTATCCAAGCCCTCATGGCCCATTGTCTCCAAGCGAGGGTCTTTTCTTCCGTGGGCTGCGTAGCAGGGACAAAACTCGCTCCACCACGTCATATCATGGGATGTAAGACTCCCATGAAGGTCCCTTCCTCAGGGGATTCACCCCTGAGTCAGAACATTTCGGGCAGCTTTCAGTTGAAGGCCTTTGCCTCAAGAGTTCTATCAGAGCTTCTGTGCTCTGCTCTCAGGCTGCTAGTTTAGCTTGGCAGCAGCGGCAAGGGGGGGCCAGTCACCCCCTCTGCATTCCTTTGGCCGTCCTGGTCCAGCTTTCCAGGACGCCTGAGCTTTTCAGCTCCTCTCTGCAGTGCTACTGCACTTCACACCTCCCTTCTAGGAGGGGTCTCCAAGGAGTTTGGGGTCTTTTGGTTCAGTTTCTTACCCCAACTCTCTCTCTGTCTGAGCTTAGTTCTCTCTCTCTCTGCTGCTGGCTCTCTTTCTCTCAGACAACTCTGTGTCTTCCTTGGCTGCATGCTGTTTGCTGCTTCATCTTTTCTGGCTCTCTGCCACCCTTTCTTCGGTCAGTGCAGTTCTGCCACCGCTTTTCAGTATCTCTTGCTGCGGCTCACAGTGGAGAAACGTCCCCCAGCTCAGCTACAGACACTTAGCCCAGTCTTACACTGTTCCAAGTCTCTGCAGCCCCCCCCTGTTGGGGCTGCTGCTGCTTCTCCTCGTGGCTTTCAGAACATGGCTACTTCTTCAACAACAACTACAACTACTTTCTCTTCCATTCTGCTTGTGATATGTTTATATTTTGCAGAAGTGCTCATTGGGTAAAAACCTCAAGGGTCACCACCCTCTGGGGTTTTTCCATTTTATAACTTCAGGGGGGAAAACTAATTCCCCCCACCACATGGAGTAATACAGAAAAAATACCACATGGAGTAATACAGAAAAAATACATTTATGTCCACACTGCATTTGAAACACGAATACATTTTCAATTAGTAACTATTTTCAATTAGTAACCAGAATACAAATCCTGGCAGTTGATGATTGTCCGATTAGAAGGGCAGGGACTCCTGGGCCTAGGGGTCCCCAAACCCCTGTGGGGATCAAGAGTACAGCGGTAGATGTTAAAGTTACGGTTCTCTGGAGGCCAGGTCCAACCCAGTGCTGCCTGAGGTGGCAGTGAGCAAATCACTAACCTGTTTTCTTGGGCCATATTTATTTGCTGAAGCGGAGCGTGTGGCTTCGCACCCTGTCTGCAGTTTCCCTGATGGGAAGGGTTTCTCCTCAGGTCGACTCAACTTCAACCTTCGTTAAGATCCCCGCTTCTCATGGTGACCTTTTTGGCATACTGCTGAGGGGGGTTTCTTTGGGCAGTCCTTATAAAAATGATCAGCAGCGCCACATCAGTAGCAGCTGCTTCTCCCTCTTGCCCTGTCCTGTAATCTCAGCTGGGCACTTCAGGCTGTTGCTAGAGAGGCTGTGTGATGCTCAATCGATCCAACATCCTGACACGCTCGGACCATTTCGGCTATTATGCAGGTTTCCCTTTTAGGGATAGTCTGCAAGGCTCACTTACAATCCAGGTTTGAATCCCCATAAGCAAGCTGCCTAAAAAGTGTCTCTCTAGCATCTTCATGTTCTATTTGCCTGCTTAAAGCCGCCTGTAGCCCATCGAGGAACTGGGAGAAAGATTCAGTTGATCCCTGAAGGACCTTTCTGAAGGACAAGTTGCTATCCCTGTCCGTGCTAGGGAGCTTAATCATCGCCCTTGAAGCCATTTTTGCTATCACCTCATATATCTCCCAGGGGTAGCCTGTCTGGGAATCAGCTACCGTGTAAGCCCTCTCTCCTGCCAAATGATTGCAAGTCATGCCTGTTTGTGAACCCCCTGGGTCACTTGCATACGCTGCGAAATTCTCCCAATAGCCTGTTAAGCAGACGCTGTATCAAGTTGTAGTTAAAACCATCTTCAACAGCGTCTTCCAATCATGAGGTAAAAATACATAGGTGGTACTCAATGTCTTCAAATATGACAACATTTGAGACAAGGAAATACCACTTTCTTTAACAATTTGCCTCAATTCCTTGGTCACCTCATAGGGTAAGCTTTGGAACTGAGGGTTTTGGCACAGTCGGTATATAACTGGGCATGCACTAATAACTTTCCAGTCTCCCGTCCGCATTGCCTCCTTGTGGCATTTTTCCCATCAGTTAACTGACACCCTCGCACCTGTACACTCGCCCTCACCTGGAGGAATCACCGTTGATTCCTCCTCAGTATCCTCTGATGCCTCACTATCTATGGTTCTGAAACACTCGGCTTCTGGTAGTGGTATGCCAGATGGCTGTCGTGAAGGGAAGCCACCCACCCCCCATCACATGGTCAGGACAAGATGGCTGCGGGGCTGAAAGAGATAGCTCAAGTTCCAGTCCATTTTGCGCGCAAGATGGCTGTGCCCAGGTCACATTTCTTTCAGCACATAGCCACAAGTCATCAGCGACAAGAGGGGATGAGTTGTCTGGATTCCCCTCCCCACGCCGCGGTGGGAACCTACAAACTGCACCTGTGTACTGGATTCACGATTTAAAATTCCTGCCCTTTCTCTGCAGCTCACACGCGCATCAAAATCAGGACCCTCGCCATAGCTTATATCGCACCCCTCCGCTCCCGCCCACATGAAACCCAACCCAAGTCCATTGTTAGGTCCTCCCAGGTAGCGTGCAGTTCTCCCCCACCCCTGTGTCTGTTCCCAGTGTCTGGGGAATGGCTACACCTAGCAGCATTCATGGGGGGTGCAGGAAAATGTGTGTTTGAGTCTCTGGGGGGGTTCTGCTTTCTTTGAGCGATCTGCAGAGCATTCATGACTTGCATCCAGGCAGGAAGGCATCTAGAGGCTTCTGTATCACCTAACATAGACCTTTTGCTCATGGTCCTGCCAATTTTTTGCCAGGTGTTTATATTTAAATCTCCTACGAGCGGCAGTCCTGGTGCAATGATTTTTATCCATTGCAAGAGTTCTGTTATTTCTGCACGTGTGATCTCACTGGGATATTGTCTTAGCAAGAGACACATGGTTTCTGCATCCCTTTCTGTGTCCTGGGAAACCAAATTCCCCATGCTTTCTTTACCTTTTTTCTTTGTCGCTTTCCTCTCGCCTGCATTTTCTCGCTGCTTTCGGTTCTTGCCACTTTCAATTTTCACCGCTTTGGCTTTCGGTGCTTTCGGTCTCCGCAGCTTTTGGCTTTCACCAGTTTTGTTTCCCGCTGCTTCTTGGTTTTCGTTCTCCACCTCACTTCTCTTCGCGCGTGAACTTTCAATTTTTTCAAGCTCTGTTCAGTATTGCGTCCTCCAGTCGCGTTCTGCGCTGAAGTCTCAACGCTTTTATCGGCGTCTGGCTTTTTTTTCAGGATGCGTTCCTGAGCTTTAGAACAAGCTAGTGTGAATGCTACCGCAATCTTCTTTGCTGCAAGGCAGTCTGATTATCCCTGTTACAGAAAATGCCCCACATTCAGGGCACCATATGTGGTTTTATTAATATAATAAATAAACCACATGACCCAGTTGGTTGGATTCCCAACAACCAAATCCGTTTATTGGAAGTGAACAGCACCTTTTACATGCATTTCAAAATGACACGTGATTCTCTTAGCCAACCCCACGGGACTTGCCACTGCCCATTTGTATTAGAGTATATTTTAGGGACTACATCTCCCAGGATGCCTTGTCCAGCATCCCTAAAACACATTCCCCACACTTTACTGCTACATAAACACCCCTTGAGGTGGAAACAGTAATTTCTGAGGTTGGGTGTTTTTTCTGGACAGGTAGTCACATCTGCTTTAATACCGGGGGTTTTTCTGCACAACTACATAGCTGTGTGTATATACACATGTACCAATTCCATTTAGGTATTTTGGGAGTACATTCAGTTTTAGCTGGTGGCCAAAGAACTGAAGTAGAACGATGCCTGAAACGGTGTTGGTGGAGGAGGAACCCAGTGAGCCTAAGTGAGTCTTAAGTTTTCTGAAACAAAAAAAGCTCTGGGACAGCAAGTGCCACTCCCACCATGCTGGCAGAGCCAAAATCCCGGCAAGCTGAAAGACACTTTGATAAATGGATTAGTCCATCTGGGTGCTGGCAGATGGACAGAGTTGTCTGAGCACCCTTCAGGCCCACTCAGCCTGTGGCTCTCCCTGCGGAGATGGGAATGTCCTGGGTGACAAGGAGACGGTCAGGAAGAGGGGCTGCTCTGGGCTCCTAGGGAAGGTCTGAGCCAAACACATGGGCTTGTGCTCTCTCCAGCTGGCGGAGGACAGTCTCCAGGCTGGGGGAGTCCCCAAAATCCTGTGTGTCCTCTGCTGAGATAGGGGTACCCCAGGATCCTACTACCCCTCAGCTATAGGTCTGGTTTGGAGTGATAACATCTTGGAGACAACCTGGGATCCCCTCCCAGTGCAGGGGGCAGATCCCTAAGCTCAGACAGATGCTGGGATGTCTCATCCTCAAGGCATTTGAGGAAGGTAAGCCCAGCACTGTGGCTCAGAAGGCTTTTCTGTGTCCTCCTCAAATTCCTCTACCAGACAAAAAGTGAGAGAAGCTGTGGAGGGCTGCATTCCCCACCTGTGGTTAATTTGGGTCAGCTGGCCTGGTTGTGTCCCCTTGGTTGCAGGGGAGGAATATTGAGACACAGTGCTGATGCTGTGCCAGCCCTGCACAGCAGTAGCCAAAACACTGGTGTTACCAGTGGTAACAAAGGTGTTACCGACACCTTTCCAGCTCCCAGTGCAAAGCACAGCACTGGGAGGGCTGCTATGGAAAAATTAACTCCATCTCAGCCAGACCCAATACAATCCTCAAGAATGAATGCAACACATCAGGTTTTAATTCAGAAAACAGAGACAACAATAATCAACTGGGAAACTTTTTATTTAAGCAACAAGGTAGAAGTAAAACCTATCAAGCAGGGCTTTAAAACATTTTGCAGCAAAAATCAAAAGGACAATCCGAAAAGTAGTAGAATTTAGGAAAATTGTATCAAGTGAGAGTCTTCTCCAAACCTGCTTTCAAACTGCGTAAACAACTGCAAAACCAGCAACTAAGAAATGCTCAGTAATATGCCAGTATCCAGTGAAAACCAGTTTTAGTTAATTACAGTCATTCCCCAACACTCAAAATGCACATTAGGAATCATCCATCTCTGTCTCACCTACCTGGTAAGCTTGCACAGAAGTACACTACCAGCCTACATCAGAAAGAGGAAAATTTTAGTATTAATATCTTGCAGGTAAAAGCAACAGTCTGCAGAACTACTGTCAAGAACTCCTGACACTGGTGAAGTGCTGGTCTTTGAGTTACACATTAACTTCCTTTGGTTTCAGGTCCCTTTATCACAAGAGCTACAACGTGCACTTAGTGCGGACTGGCATGTAAAAATTTAGGAAATGAAGATCCCACTGCTTTCTGGGTTACCCACAGATGTAGTGGGCTTAGAGGTGGCTGATCATCCCCTTCTTAATCTATTTGAGTCCCTAGGAGACCCTCACAGATAACGTAGAGTAAACAATGTCTTGTTCACTCTGAGTCTGCATTAGAACTCTCATTATCACAGATGCACAAATAGCACAGCATCAACATTGCACACATTCATGATCCCAGGTAAGTGTGATTTACTGATCTTTGTGACAGAATAAGGTACATACTGATATGAGAAAGCAAAAGCAATGGTATTCCCATGAAATAAGCAATGGTATTTCCATGAAATAAGGGGGAGCAGAGGGGTACAGCCCACTGGCCATTCCAGGATACAAAGGGAGAGTCTCCTCTGACTTCCTTCCCCTCTTAAGATTTATTTGTATTTTTTACTTTGAGGTGGGGAAAAGACAACGTTCCAATTGATGTAATCTCATGATAAGGTGCAGTTTGAGTGACTATACTCAATGCATGTAAAGCATGTACAGGTTTTACTTCATTAGCACATGCAGGGTGTTAAAAATAATATGTATTTTCACGTCAATGAAACAGAAGTTCAGCTTTTGGTCACTGGTTTGGCCATTCCTCTGGCTCAGTTCCCATTAGCTGCATTGTTTTAAACAGGGCATGACGACAACACCTCTGTGCCACTCCATCCCTTTTCCCACTCCTTTCTTAGGGCAGCACACCAAGCTCTCTCAGTGTCGTTGCTCCCAATACATGTAGAGTTTGTTTCTGGTGAACTGCCAACACAGACATTTCTCTTTGCTCAGCTTTGTCTTTTAGACAAAGCTTTGTCTCCACAGAGACTGAAGGAAGATGTCAGCATATGGCATCTGTACTCTAAAGCTACAGAAAATATATGTGAGGCCTCCACCATGGCCAGATGGCATTGTTCCTTGGGAAATTACAACAGTCAAAAACTACATCTTCTAAAAACTAGTACTGGTGAAAACAAAACTGCTGTGGATAAAAGCCGACTGACCAGAAAGCACAGAATATAGCCTATACAGATTCCAGGAGGCACAAAAATTTCAAACTACTTTATCACAGAACAGTATTCATCCAATAGAATCGCTTTAGCAAACCACTGGAGGTCTTCCAAGACCTCTGGACACAATCCTGATTAACATGCTCTATGGGCTCCTGCCTAAGCAGGGAGCTTGGGCTGGGTGACATTCAGTGATCCCTTCCAACCTTATCCATTTTCACATTCTGTGAAAATGAACAGCAAGTCCAAATCCCTTCTCACAGTTCCCATTAAATTTTTTATCCCATTGACTTTCAGACTATGTTGTTAATAATGCTCTCATGCACACAACTGGACATGAAAAGCTGAAAGGGTCTGAGCAATCTATCCTAAACGGGGGAAGACACAGCAAAAAGCAATGAGCACTTCTTCTAGTCATCTCCTCAGTGTTCATTTCTACTGCCTTGCATAGTCTCAAGCAGACAATGCTTTTTAGACACCGAGACCTTTATTCACTGTGCAGATGAATAAACTCTGTCCGTAGATATTTCCCTCCTAAAGTTACTCCCAACTATCCTACAAAGGGATGTCTGTTACGCTTGTTATTCAGCAGGACTCACTGATTGTAGATCTTCAGCTGAACAAGGTGAGGGGTCTCACAGGATTTTTTTAACATTACTACTCCTGTAGCTGCACCGACGAGTGTGGGGTTTTCCAAACAACCTGGGAGGTATTTGGCCTAAGTAGCAAGTCACTTTACAAGGTTTCTCATAATGTTTAAAGAAGACCCTCTGTATCCTGAACCAAAATGGTTCCAATGGTTCATGTAGTGAAACAGTTGATAAAGCTTCAGGCATTTCTCAAACCCTGCAGCTTTGGGAATTTTACTGTGATAAGCAGAATAAAAAGAACTGCTGAAGCCACCAAACATTCCAGCTATTGCAAGCTCATACTCTGAATGGCCGTAGAAAGAAGCTGGATCAAAGATAATTGGACCAGAATCATCCTCAGCTACGTTTCCTCCCCATAGATCTCCATGCAGGAGAGCAGGAACAATTTCTACATCACAGAACAAACTGGGTATTTTCAGCTGCAGAAGGAAAAAACAAGACATATAAATACATTTTAAAGTGAATGATTGTAGAGATTTATCTGCATAAACAGCATAGGACAAGTAAACAAAGATGCTGAGCAAATCCAGAGGATTACTATTTTTTATAAAGTCAGCAGTAGAATAGTCATCCAAACCTTTTTTAGAAAAAAAATTAAATATTTAAAACGGTATTTCATGCTGGAATATTGACCAGGTTTAAGAAGAACCACCATCACCACTTCATCATTAGAAGGCTCATGGATTTCTCACCAACTCTGAGGAATTCCACAAAGTAGTACCCAGGGAGCTAATACTGCAGTCACTTAATTAGATGCAAACAGTAAATGAACAGACATTGTGCTTATGTACATTTCTCATCATGAACATGTTACAGGGAATGAGAAATACGAACTCCATCTAGTATTTCCCAAACAGTAAGGCAAGGTGTTATCTGTCACTCTGGAATTCACTTTGGAATACTAGCATAGGGTGATGTAGCAAAAGCCCTTACACTTCAAAATAAAGGGCCTCTTAACACCTAAAAACTGGAGTTTCTTACCAACAGAACCGGGGCCAAACCAAAAAACAGCAACTTTGTTTTAAGAAAATAAAATCTGAATAACTGATACCCAGCTATCACTATAACGAGAACTGAGAGAATTGCTCCTACCTGAAGTTGTGCCCAAAGTTCTCTTGCTTCCCTGTCTCCTGAATTCTTTTCGATCATGTCCATCTGGGGCTGGATTCTTTGTTTGGCAAAGAAGGTCACCCAGTCACTCTGCCAGTCATTCACCTGAAGGACAGGACTGACATGTCAGTTCTACACCACATGAAAGGCTTATTTTCTTCATTTTCAAATAAGCATTTTAAAGATTATATAGCCTTTGTGCTGGTACCAACTACAACAGTAAATGCTACCATTTAACTGGACATTATCTTAAAACATTAAATTAGGGGAGTAAAGTTTTCTTTAGTGATTAAAATCCAAGAAATGGAAGAGCTATGAATGTCCAGTGCAGCAAGAAGTGCTGTCTAAAGCAATACTTTCCTTAGAAGACTGGAAAATGTTTTTTCGTTTCACTGCTCCACAAAAAATCATTTATTATGATAATTTTGACCCTTTGTGTCATTGAAGAGAAAAAAAGATAAACTTAAAAAAAGATAAAATTATAAACTTCTGATGATGTACAACCTACCTGTGGAAGATAGCCACAGCAGGTAACTGTATGAAAGCCAAACTGATCCACAAACTGGACTTCCGTTTGCCCTTGTCCCTTACCTTTCAAACCAAAAACAAAAATTCAACACTAATGACAAAATATTAAGCAGCCACAATGCAAATGAACCTTAAAAACTATGCAAAAGTACAATGCTGCTTCTACTGAGAATAAAAAAAAATTGCTCTTTTTTTACAATGGTTGCTGCTGTTGTTTTTTAAGTTTAAATCTCAATGTAAAGCAGCCATATTTTACTTTTCATAATCACATTTTGAGGTACTGTATCTCCTCTGATGTCATGTCCTCCTAGAAATTGTGGTTTGGATTCCTGAGAGTGCCAAACTGAGTGTGTGTTTTGCTCACAGAGATCCAAACAGAGCAAACAAAAGCAAAAAGAAGCCCCCCTATCTGGGTGCTTCATCCAACTCATACTATCTTTAGTGGAAGGAGACAAACTCGTCCTGAAGCAGCAAAAGCTATTTCAACTCTTATGTAGATTATTATTAATTAGGTTAAATTTGCAAAAGCACTGTACCAACTGTGCTTTCTTCCTTCTTCAGCTTCTCTCCAAGTTGCCTGTTATGAAGGTGAAGATCAGCCAGTTGTGTTCCAAGAAGAGCTGAATGTCTATGAAACAAAAATATTCTTAGCAACACTGACACATGAACGAATCCATGTCTTGATAACCAAGGAATTACTTCAAAATATTTATCAAGTAAAAGAAGTCTGTATTTCTAACAAAATAATGTTTTACAAGATTCCAGTTAAAAATGCCTCCTCTTTCTATCAATATTGCACACAGACAAAATGTACTTATGTGGTTGTTTCTGACACGACCGTTAAAAAAAAAGAGGAACTATCAATTCTAATTTCTGTGCGATATCACTTCCAGAAGAACTTCCAGTAAGATATCTGTGAGAAAGCACAACATGTTATGCCTTTTTTTTTAATGACAAAAAGTCTTTGGGAAATAGAGCCAAACAAGGCTCTCTTCTCTGTATTTTTATCTCTGGTTTCTTTTCTCTAAAAGGTCTAGAAGATGTGGCAGTCAAGTAGGCCTTGTTTATTATCTACTTTTAATAAGAGCTCATCCTCTACACATTGCAAAAAAGTCTTGCAGCAACTACAAACACTCTTACAGCCAGTTGCCTCCCACATTAATAAAAGTACATTCCTTTTCCTGTCTTTGATGTTTCTCTACTTTCCCTGTTCTCAAGGCACTGTCACCTAAGGTAAATTTATTTCTTCATTTTGTTCCTGTTAGCACAGGTGGTAACTATCTCCAGATATCTGCACGACAAAGGAAGAGTTTGCAATCCAAAACAAGATCTTTGCCCTTTCTCTGGGGGCTCACTGGTGGCTCTTCATGAATTAGAAACTCTCCCAGGGAGCAGAATGAGGGATGACTTTAAACTGGCTGCAGAAGTTCTGAGAATGAGGTGAGAAACTGGTCATGGCCACCTCCCTAACGAAATCAGACACACGGATTCAATATATTAAGTGCTTGTCACAGAGAAGGGTCGAAAGTTTGAAACTATCAAAATGAAAGTAAGAGTTCTAAAAATATTGAAATTAATTCATTTGGTGAAGTGCTTCTGCATACTCATGACAAGCAACAAAGCACTGGCTCTTATATCAAAGGCAAGTACACAGAACAGGTGATCAGGTCATCTTCCTTACTATAAAAAGGAAGCTTACTTTTATCACTAATTACCTAAACAAACAAATCCAAAATTAACCAAAACTCAGACTCACTTCTTGATGTATGGCAAATTTTCTAGGTGAGGCATTATGAGGTATTTTATACAGTTCTCTGCTGTATAACTTTCTGTACGCCTCCTGACTTGCTCTGTAAAAATTTTAACAATTTTCCCCTCTGAAAACAAGTAACATAACTGTCATGACAACCAAAATTTCTGGTTAAAGGGGACAAAGATAACACTGTGTTTTACCTGTTTAAGCCCCTCATTTCCAAATGTTCCATCACAAATGCAGTGCTGCCCCCAGGCAGGTCTATAACTTTGATGGGTTTAGGCACTTTTATCGCCTGCGTTTTCAGGAGGGCTTCCAAACTTGCCATTTCTCCCTCAAACATTCTTCTGGCCTGCCAGACATTAGAGAAAAGCGTCAGTCTCCATGAAAATCAGTCACTGGTAAACCAGGCACTTTCACAAAACACCACTTTCACAAAACCAATCAAGGTTGTAAAAGTTAAATGCCTCTACTTTAGAAGAGTCAGGTAGACATTGCAGAAAAAGAGCATGTGGGAAATCTAACAAACGTGGTTGAAAATAAAAGCAGAAACTATAATAAATAAAACAGAAGCCACAACAAATAAAACACAATCTACCCCTTTAGTATTGATACATGAAACACTGCTAAAGGACAATTTGCAACAGACATCAAATAAAAATTCCAAAGCCTACAGGACATCATAGAATGACAGAACAGTTTGGGTCTGAATGGACCTTAAATTTCATCTTGTTTCAGTCCCTGCCATGGGGAGGGACTCCTTCCACTGGACCAGGTTGCTCTAAGATGCATCCAATCTGGCCTTGAACATTTCCAGGGATGTGGCAGCCACAAGTTCTCTGGGCAACCTGTGCCAGGGCCTCACCACCCTCACAGAGAAGAATTTCTTCCCAATATCCCATCTCAACCTATTTTTTGTCAGTTTGAACCCATTCCCCCTTGTCCTGTCACTGCATGCTCTTGTAAAAAAGACATCTTTCCTGTCTGCCCCTTCAGGTACTGGAAGGCCACAATTAGGTCTCCCCCCAGCCTTCTCTTTTCTAGGCTGGACAATCTCAGTTCTCTCAGCCTTTCCTCATAGGAGAGGTGCTCCATCTCTCTGACCGTCTCTGTAGCCCTCTTTTTGACTCACAAGTGAAGAACTGCTGAGCTACTGAGCCATGATTTAGCTCTGTTCAGAGGAAATCAGTTAATACTGTATCTCTGTCTAAAGCATCATACTAGCTTAAAGCCTGCTACTAAAATAGAGTAAAAACTGCTGATGCACAGCTGCTGCTGTACACACAGCACAGCATTTACAATAGACTTGAGCAAAGTTCACTTTCATCAGCGCTCAGGATCCACACACAGGCAAAAGCACTGAAAAGGAAACAGCTGGATAGAAAATATACTGAGACCTTTTTTTCCCCAAGCCTGATCTTGCAGCTAGCTGGCTGCTGTGTATTTAGCTAGTTAAATACACAATTATCAAAGGCATAGGAAGGGCCCATTCAAACTACCTATTTGTATTTCAAACAACCGATGCTACCAATTCAAACTCTTTTCTGTAAAGCTGGATAACCTTCCTATATTATCCCACATTACCACCTCTGTGCATCCATCTAGCTCCCCAATATGAACAGAAAGCATAGAGAAATTTAGAATATAGTGGCATACATGCTTCCAAACACATTTGTTTGTTATGAAAGGCAAACAGAAGTTCTGACTTCTGTTCTGCCATTGAAACTTTTTACTTGATAGACACAACTATAAGGTATCTTTAAAGGAAATTCCACCTGAGCTCTGCTTTTCCTGCTGTAGAGCTATGTTGCATTGTACTTACGTCTATCAAATGCTGACATCTACCTTCAACAGAAGGCAGTTCCAGGTATTGAAAGCAGAAAATCTTGAGGAATTGTGGCAAAATATCACTTACTGAGAAGAGCTCCTTCTCACATGCAGGGAATTAATCAGTGGTTTACTTAAAACCACAAAAGATGCAGACAATTTTACACCTGCCAGTTTGCCTCAGACACTATTACAGCACTCGCAGACACAGTTACACCACTGTTGCCCCCCCCACAAATGACAACAACATGTCACAGTACTGCATGCCCTGGACAAACAATACTGATACCACAACACAATCCCACCACAGAAATCATTCAGGTTGGAAAACACCTCCAAGATCATTGAGTCCAACCTTTGACCCATCATCAGTTTGTCAGCCAACCCAGAGCACTGATGCCACATCATCGTTTCTCAAACACCTCCAGGGATGGGGACTCCAACACCTCCCTGGGCAGCCCCTTCCAATGCTCAACAACCCTTTCCATGATGAAATTCCTCATGATGGCCAGCCTGAACCTCCTTTGGCACAGCTTGACGCCGTTTCCCCTTTTCCTAACCTTGCTCCCTAAGAGCAGAGCCCGACCCCGCCCTGGCTCCACCCTCCTCTCAGGGAGTTGCAGAGAGCGAGAAGGTCCCCCCTGAGCCTCCTTTTCTCCGGGCTGAGCCACCTCAGCTCCCTCAGACGCTCCAGGTGCTCCAGACCCTTCCCCAGCTCAGTTCCCTTCCTGGTCACGCTCCAGCCCTTCAATGTTTTTCTTCTCCTGAGGGGCCCAGAACTGCACCCAGCACTCGAGGTGTAGCCCCAGCAGTGCCCAGCACAGGAACAGTCACTGCCCCGGTCCTGCTGCCACACTAGTGCTGACCCGAGCCAGGAATGCTACTTCCGACAGCGCCGCCTGCCCACCTCCCTCGCCCCCGCTCCCTACCCCACCACACCTCCTCCTGGGGGTTGCTCTTGACGAACACCCGGCCGCGGTCCGTGTCATAGCTCTGCCCCTGGCTGATGCAGCCGCCGCCGGTGTGCCCGGTGGGCCGCAGCAGCACCGTGCCGAGCTCCCGCCTCAGCGCGTCCTCCATGGCGCCCGCGGGTCGCTGCGGCTGCGCGGGGAGCTGAGCGGGCCACGGGGCGGGAATGGCGGCGGGAGGAGGTAGCTCCGGGCTTTCGCTCCTCGTAGCCCGCAGATTCCGTTTTGTTCTTACTATTTTCACAGAATCACGGAATATACCGAGTTGGAAGGGACCCGCAAGGGTCGAGTGCAGCCCTCAGCCCTGCACAGGACCATCCCCAAGAGTCACACCGTGTGCCCCGGAGTATCAGCCAAACGCTGCTTAAGCTCTGTCAGCCTTGGTGCTGTGACCACTGCCCCGGTGAGCCTGTTCAATGCCCGACCGCCCTCTGGGGGAAGAACTTTTTCCTAATATCCAACCTAAACCTCTCCTGACACAATTTCAGGCCGTTCCTTCTGGTTTGAGTCCTGTCTCTGGTTCCTACAGAGCAAAGTGCCTGCCCCTTCTACCACTTAAAGTGAAGAGTTTGCATTAACGAGAGAGGACAGAAAACAGCCTTGAAGTATTTCAATTTCCTACACTATTTTTAATTCAAATATACACAACTTCATAGTAGAGGTACTGTGTCTTCAGTATCTACTGATAAGTTTATTTCAATGTAAAAACCTAAGTCCTGAAGAAAGGAAAAGACAAGAAAAAAGCAGCTTCAAATATGATATAAGCAACAGGAACAACAAAGGTAGTTAACAGTACTGAAACCCAATGCACAAGTTTGATATGCTACAGTTCAGTAATGACATACATAATCTTAACTTTCAAATAAATAAGCTATAGTTCCTAGACGTGTCCTAGCTGACACAGCTGGTGCCAGAACTCCGCCTGCTGTTTCTCAAATCCGGTATTAGTCTCTTAATGTGAGTCATCTTACTGTGCAGATACTGGCATCTGTTCTTCAGAGTAGCTGGGGCTAGACTGCAAAGGAAAAATAAGAAAATCTGGGCATGCAAACATGTCCTTTTCTTTAAAATAGCCTTGAGCCAGGCTTAGTGGTTACCACCTCCTACAGACTGTTTTTTCTTCTCATACTCTGTTAAGACCTTTCTTAAGAAGCATATTCAAGGAAAGCATAAACAAGCATAAAGCCAATATGAAGAACATTTCACTATTAACAGAAAATGCAAACAGATGTACACCATTAAAAATATGCTGTTTGACTCAAGATTCTGTGAGCCACCACTCTCCTGCTTTGCAAAAATAAACACCAAGCTCCCATATCACCCAAGACATGCAAGTAAACCTGTCAACTAGCAACAAAATCAGTACCTGCTCCAATACTCCCTTTGGCACATGCCTCACGCTGCCATGCATCCACGAACGGCTCAGACAAGCACAGTCTGAGGGCTCGACAACTTTTTTTGGCTGGGTTTTGCAAAAAATCACTGCCAGCCCACACAGCACCTCAGCAAGTATACCAGTTATTTAAGAGACTTTACAATAATACTCCTTCACAAAATACACGAGTTCTGATATTGAAGATGTGGAATTTGCATGTCCATATCAGAACCGTCCGTGCTGAACACCCAACGTACATCAAGGCATCTCTGTGTGGCCATTGTGACCTCGCTGATGACAGGGGCTCTGCAAAGTTCTGGCGTCACAAAGGGGGTCCCCGGCTCCCCAATAAAAGCGGGTGAGCCGCACGCCCCGCACACCACCATGGCCCGCTACCGCCGGCGCTCCCGCAGGAGCCGCAGCCGGAGCCGCAGCCGCCGCCGCTCCCGCCGCCGGGGCGCGCGGAGGAGGCGGCGGGCTGGATCCCGCCGCTCCAGGTACCGCCGGCGCCGCCGGGGCGGCAGGAGGCGCAGGCGCCGCTGAGCGGGCACCGCGGACCAGGCCCCGTACGGACACACGGCGGGCCTGACAATAAATTAGCACGGCAAAGGTCACATGGGTGTGCTTGTCTCTGCTTCGCCCCCCTCATAGCGCCTCACGCCTCAGGGCTCCCCTGTGGGTCGCGCTGCTCGGAACCCGCGCCCGCATTCCACGTGTTCCATCTGCTGCTGCTCCTGTGTTTCCAGCTCCGCTCTTCGACAACAGCGCTCCCAAACGCTGTCCCTCCCCCTTTTTCTGTGCCCTGTTCATGTCCATCCCAAAGCTGAATCAAAAAGGAATGTGAATTGCAAGACCTTTTCAGAGGTCCCCTACCTGATATTCGTGCTCTATAGGAATATATTTACATCAGTTAATCAAATTAATTTACATCAAATGGTGATTTTTTTTACATAACTATTCCTTATTTGCACAAATTCATCAAGTGATGAATTTCTTACATAAATGATGCCCCTTATTTACATAAATTCATCTTTCCAGCTGGCAAAGCTTCAGTCTGTCACCAGCAATTTTCCACCGTGGACGTGGTCCTGGGGCTCCCGGGCTGGTGGCTGTACCCCCAGCACGTGGGCCGGGGAGGCGGCCTCTTGCTGGGCGGAGGGCAATCCTTCGGGCTGGGGACCC